ACCGCTGTACTCTCTCATAAGTGGAAGCTAAGAGAGAAAAAAGGAAGGAAAGAAAGACCACAGTGGTGCGTTGAACTTGCAGAGGAAGAGAACAGACCTAGGGTTTCAGAGTGGGGTGGGGGAAGGGGGAGGGAGGGAGGCTGGGGATTAATTGGGTTGGGGACACAGGGAATAATCACAATTTGTGGTAATGGGCCTGCTGATGGTATTGATCTTGCCATCACACCTTGGGCACAAGTGGTGATGGTCAACTGTGTACCCCATGAATATGCATAACCAATAAAATTTTTTTAAAAAATAAAATAAATAAAGATATAATAATCACAGTAATACATTGAACTTTCTAAAGGAGAGAACAGAACTGAGGTTACCAGAGGTGGGAGGGGGGCAGGAGGGAGTAAGGGGGAATTGGTAAAGGGCCATGAAGAACGATTACATTGTATAATATTGAATATACTAATTATCCTGATTTCAGCATCACATATTGTACACATGTAATGATATTCAACTCTGTACCCCACAGATATGTACAATCAACTGTGTTACAATTAAAAAAAAAAAAAAGGCATATCCCCACAGTGGTCAGCCACCACCCTTCTCAAAAAAAAAAAAAAGAGGCATAACAAAATAAAATAAAAATTTTATTCATCAAATGACACCATTAAAGAATTCAAAGAGAAGTGACATAGTGAGAGGAAATAATTGAAAAAAAAAAAAAGAAAAAGTTCCTGGAGAAAAAGAATTAAAAGATAATACAGGGGCTGGCCGGATTAGCTCAGTTGGTTAGAATGTAGTGCTAATTAACACCAAAGTCCAGGGTTCAATCCCAGTACCAGCCAGCTACCCCCCAAAAAAGATAATACAAATCTTTCCATGAACTTTTTGAAGTACCCATGTGTGTGTGTGTGTGTGTGTGTCCTTTATTCAGGAGATGCTTGATACATTGGGAAGATTGACTATCATATATGGTATCGGCCCTCTCCTAGTAATGTCATTTGGGAGATAAAACCCTGAGTAGAGATTTTTGAAATAACAAAGCATATAATGAATACTAAAATTAAGAGGACAGGTATTAAATCTATAGATGTTCACTACGGGCTAATGTGATGAAGAAAGGCTTTGTGAGACTTGGGCAGCCTGTGAATCCTGGGTAGGATTGAAATCATTCCTTTCTCCACTAGAGGCAGAGCTTTGGCAGACGCTTATCCCAGGTTGGTTTCACCCTGCACCCAGCCTGTTTCTAAATGGCCTCCCCATACAGTCAACCTGTGCTTATAAAAGGGAAGTCATTGTCCTGAGCCAACAGTTTAAATCAACTGTAGGAAGGAAAAGAAGTCAATAGTACATAGTGATTCATAATTAAGTATTTAAGGACATGCAAATGCTGTAAGGAAGATTTATTATTATTGCATGTCTTTGAAAGTTCAAGCAAAAGCATTTTAAAATATTTTTTACAGCAGTTCTTGAGAATACAGTACTACTGTCAACTGCCAGAACAGCCCAAAATTGAGTGTAGTAGACAGAAGCATTTAATAATCAGATTTGCTGTTTTCATTTTATTCTTTCCCTAGCAGTCACACTGATTTTATTTCCACTATTTCCAAGCCCTCCCAAGCCATGACATTCTATTGCCCTGAGAGCAGTGTGACCGAGTCAGATAACACTGTGGCTTCCAACTCAGAGGTGCATAGTAGCTGGTGACTCATGGCTCCTTTATACCCACCTGTCCTCATCAGAGCAGCCACTGAACTGCAGCCAAGGCAGGTTGGGGGGAACCCTGACTGCCAGCCATCTTGCCAGCCCATCTGGGGCAAAAGTTTCTACAATATCTACGAGAGAAAGAAACTTAGTTGGGGAACATTCCAAAGCTCACAATTGCCCTTTTCCCAGCTGACAAGAAAAAGGGGGTTTCACAGGGCTTTCTCTGAGAAAGACTTTGTGTACTTGATGATGTCTTCATGTGTTTATAATTTCTCCTTGATTCCTTTAGATTTTTCATGGACTTAAAGTTCACGTGCACATTTGTACTACCCTCCAGCCACGTCATGACAGTGCAATCAATTGCGATGGAAAGGGACCAGTTTTTTGTCTTGTCATTTATTTTTAGTTTGAGAAGTCATTATGTTGAATTAGAAACACTGAAACATTTTAATTACAGGAAGACGAGTATGACTCAGAGCATTCCTTTTTTCTTATTGACGTAAGGAGGCCAAAATCACATATGCCACACGTGTTTAGCTCCCTACACCAAAATTCTAATGAGTCAAACTGAAGTTTCCAACATACTCTTGAGAACTAGAACCTGATGTTTGAGGACTTGGGGTTTACGAAGCTACAGAGCTAAAGATCACACAGTGCCGAGCCAAGCAGGCTAGAATTAAGAAAACCAGAGAAAAAGACCATGGCAGCTTATTTCCTTGAGCATCAGTTAGGCCATCAAAGTTATACATCAGGTTAGCCTCATTTTTCTAAAATGAAAAATTAAGAAGATACTGAGAAGACAGGTACATGGATACGGCTAAAGATAAATGCATATATCTTCACAACAGTACTATGGAGATTGCTTGATGCCATGAAAAGCATAGCAGTTTTAGAGCTAGGTAGACCTGAATTCAAATCCTGCTCTGCTATTCCTTAGCTGTGTAGCCTTGAGCAAGCCACTTAGCCTCTCTGAGCCTCGTTTTTCTCATTGCAAAGTGAAAGTGGAAGATAATACAGAGTAGTTTTAAGATTGGATTTAATATAAATAAAAGATGCCTTGTACAAAGTGGGAATGTAGTAAGTACTGGCGGTTGTGGCAGTTGTTGCTGTTATTATTAAACACAGAATGTGACTATAGAGAAAGGAAAAGTGGGAATGCCAGCAGTGTGGAAGCAACCAAGCAAGACTATGTGGCCAGAGATCTGGATGCCTCGCGATTGGTTTTATCTATTTGAAATAAAGAGGTCCCTATTCATCTCCAATCGCTTTGCAAATGTAACTGTACAACCTCAGAGCTTATGGTCATTCTACACAGTTTTTATTGAACTCATTAAGAATGAATTTCTTCCTAAGCTTCTTTTCTTCCTTCCTTTAATGTGGTGTTTATTAACCTTCTCTCTTAATACCAAAACTTCTTCTCATTCATTCCTTCCTCTTAGGGCATGAGGTGCTTTTATTGATAACTTCTAAGGAGCTGAAAAGAGGACCTGCTCCACCTTTTTGTCTTTCTAACCAGACCAAAATGCAGGCCCAGACGTTGTGTAGATATTCTAGAACAAGGTTTTTCCAAGCATTGTGATGCTCTATCCTCCTCATTCTAGCCATAAGAAGCTATATATTTTTTTCTCACTTTCCTGAGGCTCAGTTTAACTTCTAGCATTACAAACGGGAACCCTGCGAGAAAAAAAAAACCCATCTCTCTGGGTCTAAACAAATTTTCTGCTCTTTATATTTTTTCATGGAGTTTATGTCCAAATGAGAACCCTCTTCTGATAGCTTTCCATTGTGATAACCACCCATCTCAAGAGAGCTTAGAGGCTTTTGTGAGCTTAAAATGGAGGGAAAAAAAAAAAGCACTTGCCAAAGAATGTGATTAATAGTAAATCCCTAAGCAAGCAATTAGGTACCCTTGTATCTGACACATAGGACTGAGAAATATTAATCTGTAGGCAGCGCTCTCCTTATGTGAAAGACACTGTATTGCTTCAGCTGTCTTTGTTTTAAGTAGGGAATTGTATCACTGTTTATTCTAATTTTAAAAGACCTGAATGCTCCACAGGTCAGAATCTCAGTGTAATATGAGATGTTCAGCAGGTTTTCTCTCTATTTTTCCTTTGCAGTTCTCCCAGATTTTATGAGAAACGTTTCCACATTTCCATCTAAACTACAAAAACTGATCTAGAGTTTAGCACCTATTAATTTTTCTTTGCTGTGTTTCTTCAGTAGTTCTATTTTCCCCTTCATCCTAGGTGTTTAATCCACTTTTTAAACTCAGTAACAGAGAAATCGTGTTTATCTTTAAAATAATCTGAAGATCAAATCCATCAATTTACCCTAGATAGAGGGTAGTTGGGACAATAGTAAGGCTTAAAAACACTTAACACACAGACTTAGTCCAGGTGATTCAGTTAGACTCTGATCATTCTGTAGTTGTTGTAAAGTAATTGGAGTAGGAATTGATCCTCTAAATTGTCCTGGGGACCTCCTTTATTATAATCAATAGTCCAAGCCTTGCCCAACAGTCTAAATGTTGTATGACACACCATTGTGTCTTCATGAAATTAATCATTCAGGTTAGGTTCTTTTTCCTTCTCTTTCAGTTTGAGTATGTTTTCTAAACCTTGTACTTTTGAAGAATTATTGTTTCACACTTTCTCTTTTAAAAAAAACGGAGTCATAATTTCCATAAGCAACAGTTTTGTTTTAAAGTAATTGCTTTTATAAGTTGGTGTTTCTCAGAGTTTGGTTCTTGGACCATCTGCATGCATTTTAGCAAGCTTCCAGTTGATACTTTGCATATGAAAATATATGAATCCCTAAATTGACAGGAAACTCCACATACATCTGAATGGGAAGGGCTATTTAATACTTGAACCCTCTTTTTTTTCTTAACCCAAGACAGTATCTTTTCTGCAGTGAATGGCATTTATAGTTTTCTTGGAACAAATTGTCTTTTTCTGAACCCGAATTTAAAATTACATGTAATTTGATCTGCCACACCAGAGAGGTTGGAAATAAAGGAGGGAAAGGGAGTCAGCAGCTTGAGATAAGATAGTAGTAAAACCACAAACTGAGACATTGCTATCCCTCATTCTGTGACACGGACGGCATGTGCAAGGACCACTCGCTGGTTAAATGGTAAGACGAGTGCTGTTGCCAGTGCTGCTTCTCTCCTGATGCAGCCCTGACACAGCCTAAGGCCATCACTACTACCATGCGTCCTTGTCCACAGTTGCAAGGGACCCAGAAAGCACCGCCCTGTCAGCCTCGTTCCTCTACTTTCCTGTTGTCTCCCGCAGATCCGAAACTCGGGGCCCACGGACAGTACAGTCCAGTTCATCTTCTATCAGCCTATCATCCACCGATGGAGGGAGACGGATTTCTTTCCTTGCTCAGCCACCTGTGGAGGAGGTAATGTTGTTCAGTTAGCCTAGAAACTGTTGGCTTCTGCGAGGAGAGACTTGGCTATTATAAGAGTAGAGTAACTTCACGTGGAAGTAGTTGAGTGCTGTGGTGGGTCAGATCCTTCCTTCTGAACGGAGCCAAAGCCAAGATGCCCCATGAACATTTTCTGTCTGTAGAGTCCCCTGAGAGGAAACAGTCTTTACTTCTTTCCTTGATTTCATGGAAAACCAGGACTAGAAATACCATAATTTGGCAAAAGCTTGGTCCTCAGTTACTTCTGTTGACTTGAGCATAGACTACTGATCTGGTTGAAGTGAAATCATTTATTCAGGAATCAAGTGAAAAGTGTTTGTCAAGCTTACTTAATTAGGAGAAATGGTTTATTACAAGAAGAAAAAGAATAACTTAGGCTCAGTTATTTTTTATCATCCATGGATTAAAAGGAATGTCATTTGCTTATTCATTAAAATGCATCTCTCCTGAAAAGTCACAAAATGAATTCCTGTCTGCTTCATCACATCTGTAACATGGACAGCATTTTGTGTTACTAGCAAAGACATTTTCCTCCATTTTTCTGTTCTTCATAATTATAATAATTGCTTTGAATTATTTCACTATAATTTATTTAGTCATTTCTCTATAGTAGATCATTTAGTTCATTGAAACTTTTCCACTATTATAATGTAATGAATAACTTGATACCTAAGTATTTTTCTCCTTTCAGATTATTTCCTTGGTATAAATACTCAAAAGTGAGGTTACTAGATCAAGGAGTTTCAGATTTTTGTGGCTTTTGGCATATATTACCAAATTCTTTCCAGAAGGGTAACAAGCAGTATGTGAATATTTTAAATTCATTGCCAACTGAGCCAGTATTTGTGGATTATAGTTTTTTTTAAAGTTTTTCTAATTTAATGGGTATAAAATTCCTTTGAAAATTAGGACATCAAATAAATTCTAGCTCTAGCTTCATGGAAGCCAGTTAATTGGCTGACTTTAAATATTAGCTAATTCACATAGGAATTGCTAGATTAATTTGACAAGAGATGAAAAGATGGTACCTCCAAATGGAAATAAATGATTACCCATCAATATATGTAAAACAGTAAGAATGTATAATGTAATTCATCTTTAGCTGTGTTATCTCTGACTACAGAATGTGAACAAACCACTGAAAATGTGGTTCTAGAGTCAATGTTAGATTTTAGCTTAAAAGTAGTCAGAATGCCATCAAGTGCTTTTTAAGGATTTCAATGGAATAGGGTTTCTAGTTGCTCTCTGAGTTCTGAATAGAAAATGACTTTGTTTAAAAATAAAATACCACTTACTTTGATGTTTCATGGAAATACATTATTTTGATATACCTGTTTACTGACTAGCACAGGAAACAGTTTCAAAGAAAGAAATCTAAGGAAATAATGTTTTTTCTTTTTTTTAAATGGAAACCATGCTTTGTGAGAAATAACAGTTCAATTATATGCACACTATTCCAGTCAGCTGTTATATAGCCAATAATTCAACCCTTTAAGGATTTCAATGGAATAGGGTTTCTAGTTGCTCTCTGAGTTCTGAATAGAAAATGACTTTGTTTAAAAATAAAATACCATTTACTTTGATGTTTCATGGAAATACATTATTTCGATGTACCTGTTTACTGACTAGCACAGGAAACAGTTTCAAAGAAAGAAATCTAAGGAAATAATGTTTTTTCTTTTTTTAAATGGAAACCATGCTTTGTGAGAAATAACAGTTCAATTATATGCACACTATTCCAGTTTCACATAGAGCTGCTGTTGAATATAATTTCAGGAGCCTTGACAACAGCTTATTATACAATAAGGCAATCAGTGTTAGATTCATATATATCCAACCCCTTTGGACCTCATTTTCCTTACATCTAAGTGAATAGAACTATCAGTAGTTTTCAAATATAAATTTTACAAGGAAGCCCCCCAAATAGAACTGTGTGTGTAGATGTGCGGGGTATGGAAACCAGCCTTTCTCCCACTTCATGGACAGGTTTAAATATTACTGAAGAAACAGTCCCTAAGAAATGATCTTCTGTGTTTCTGGTTCCAGATTCGACTGGTTGGCCATTTTGCTAAGTGTAGAGAATTGCTTTTTCAAATACCATGTGAAACTTTATCTGATCAGTTTGGTAATTTACTTCATTTTTGTTCTAACATTTCATTTCATACACTCCATAAAACTTCAAAGCAACAGGTTTAGGCTGACACATTATGACTCTGAAAAAATCATAATCTCAGGTTTATAATTTACTTATTGTTTGTACCCAGAATTTACTTACTATATGATAAATTCTGTCCTTGAGTAAAAATTATATGGAAAATTATAAAATGATTAGCTTGTCATAAAATTGGCTGCTTTAGTGTACAATGTAATTGAAAAACAAAAGTGCACTTACTTATCCAAAATATCACTTTGCTACTTGATTTTCTAATAAAACAAAAAATTAGATAGAACATGTGTTCATATCCATTGCTTTTATTACTTTCCATGCTTTTCATCTTTACAGTAGGAATTTTAAAAGGTCTTTTTTTAGATCTTTAACGATCAATTAATTTTTGTGGGTGGTCTGAGACATAGCCTCAAGCCAGGAAATCTGGCTTATAAGCCTCCTTCTGATTTCCTAAAATCTTTTGCAAGTCTTTTAACAATTTAAATTTTACCTTTTAATACAGATTTAACAATAACAGTACTCAGCCACCTGCCTGGTAGAATATATTTGAAGGGTTGGTTAGGGTCAGAATGATACAAGCAGCCTAATTTTAAAATATTTTTTATGTACATTTAAAAACCTAAGAATTTAAGAATCTAAGAATCCAAGGGTCTAAGTCTTGATCACCCTCACCAGAAATTCACAGAACAATAAAGCAGGTAGGAAAGATAAAACACATTATGATTAGAATTAAACATTACTCAGCAACTCTTTATTTTTTAAAGAGGCATTTCTAAGCAGTGGAAATTTGTGGATGGAAGCTAAGAAATACAGGTTAGAGGGCTGGTCAGTTAGCTCAGTTTGTAGGTCAAGGGTTCAGATCCCCATACTGGCCAGCCTCCAGAAAAAAAAAAAAAAAGATATTCAGGCTAGAGACTTAATTTAAAAAGAAATGACAAAAATGGCAAAAGAGTTGGGATAAAGCAAAAGTTGAACAGTAGGAAGGTTTTTTTTTTTTTAATTCTGTAAAGAAAGAGATTCATGGTAGCTACTGTTGGGATCTTACTTGTCCATTTAACTCATTTAATTCAACCCATTTAGGTTGAATTTAGACAAAAATAATGTTCCCAGGCAGCTGGTAGGACCTGATTCTGTGCTATCCTCCATTGGCCTCATTGTCCAAGTGGGACAATCTTGGGATTTATCTTCTTTATTTATTCAGGAGTTTATTCTCCCTAGTGATTTAGTATCCTTGTATAACATGGTTGGTAAATAAATACTGATGGTTGTTTTTGGATACAGAACTCTGTGTTACACTTTTAGATTATACAAAAGAAATGAAAAGAATAGTTCTTATCACGGAGTCTTATAATCTACCTATACCACTATGTAGTTCAAGCCCTATGATATAATTATTAAATTTTGAGCAGATTAATTTTTTTTTTTTGTCTTTTTTTTTTTCCGTGTCCGGCAATGGATCGCAACCCTCAGTGTTGCCCCCGTACCGTCCGGCAACGGGATTGCAAACCTCGGTGTTGCTCCCGCGCCTCGCTCAGCCAGTGAGCGGGAGCCGGTCTGTATGTGGGATCCGAACCCTCGGGCGGCGCGCGCCGCCGCGCTTCCCAAGCAGCACACTATCCAGTGCGCCACCGGGCCGGCCCGAGCAGATTAATTTTTACAGGCCTCAAATACTGTTTTTTCAAGTAATGTGCCCTCCAATTATGCATCTTTTTTCCTGGAAATGACTGAGGCATTGGGGAATAATTTCCGTTAATGTGAGATGGCCAAGAAGCATAAAGAAATATATTGCATTGGCATGTGTGTTTAAACTTGCCCGGATGGTTTGATACTACAGGTTACCAGCTGACGTCGGCTGAGTGTTACGATCTTCGGAGCAACCGTGTGGTTGCTGATCAGTACTGTCACTATTACCCAGAGAACGTCAAACCCAAACCCAAGCTTCAGGAGTGCAACTTGGATCCTTGTCCAGCCAGGTCAGTCAAATGTACTAGTTCATTTAACATAAATATAGTTCCAAATAGCGTCTTAAGTTCAGATGAAATTTTTTTAATTAAAAATAAAATGAAATTAAAGATGAATGTGCTGCTGTCCAATGTCCATTTCTAATCATGTATTATTAGTATCCACGTGCCTTGCCCTTGCTGCTATATTATGTCATCTCAGGGTCTACAGACTTTCCTTTTGTAAAGCACAGGAGTTTTCTCCTCTGATTTCTTTTCATTCTGGTTCCCTATTTCTCTCCTTAACAATGTTCAGGCCAATGAACTACTCGACGTTCTTAACCAACTTGATGACACAATTTTCTCAGGATTCTTTCCATTGTATCTCTGTCCCTGCTCAGGGACGTGATCAGATCAGACCATATTTCAGGGTCACAGATCCATTCTAACCCATAGGTGGTCCACACTGATTAATTAGAGTCAAAACCAGTCTTAGAACACATCTGCTACCTTTGAAGAAACTCAGCCTTTGCTAAAGAGAAAGCAGGATTTACTTCAAATCGTCAGATTTTTTAAAGGTCTTTTTAATTAGGAGCTTTAAAGAGACAGTTGACACTTTCGCACATCATAGTTTGCTTTTCAGAAACCATAATTGGCCTTTGGATTACTTGCAGGATCGAGAATCAGCCTGATGACGAAATGTCTCAGGGGATGACTAGACAGTGAAGTGCAGGTTGAGAATCTTCTCACCGGTGTTACATTGGCCGTTGCAGGTGCAACACTTGCTGGTGATTCTCACTCATCCTCAACTTACAAGGGAGGGTCTGAGAAAATTCTTCCCCTTCAAAAGTAATCATGAAGACCAAACTGTAAAGAATTCTTTTCCAAACTCCTTGGATTTCTGAAAAAACAGTCCAATGTTATTTTTTCTAAATCAGAGTTTACTAATTGTGTATGAATAAAAAGAAAGTTTCAAATAGTTACAATACTACACAGGCAGTGTGGATGC